TGAGGGTTTCCTCGAATTGCTGAAGTTTAATTTCGTCGCATGGCTCCGTACCCGATAAGTCTCCCACTGCTATAAGCGGAACGTCAGCGCGAGGGTCTCCATGGAAACGGCATTTCGTCGAAAAACGTTCACATAGCGTGCTGCACCCGTCTCTCGCTCGGCTGCATGAGAATGCCTGGTTGTACTTCGCTCTCGGTTGAAGAAATGTCGCCAAAAGAAATCCTCTCCGATACACCACTTCCCAATTGGGAACTTATTGGTCAGTTCGTTTGAATTGCACTTTTCTTATGAAATCGTGCCAATCGTTCCGTTCTTTAGATGAGGTATCCATCTCCTTGCTTGAAAGTGGTCTGGCTCGTTTTTCAACGCTTCAAGCTGTCTTGCCCACAATGCTCTCGTTCGATGCCACTTCAGATGAAGCTTCTCAACGAAGCCGAAAGCTTCTTCGCATTGCACAGCTTCAAATCGAATATCTACTGGTCGGTCTCAATAGTATCGTTGATGCCTTGGAGGGGCGAGGGGGAGGGGGTGTGGGCTCATAATTTCTACTCATATTTTCAGAAATCTCAAAGTCAGCTGGTGCAGCAAATTCAAAAGTTGAAAACCGAGCTGGTTTCGAAGAGGAAAGAAGTGAAAAAATTAAAAGCAACTGTTTTCAATGAAGATACTCCTCTTTTCAAGGTAAATTCAATTTCTGCGTTCGTCTGCAAGCGGCAAAAAAGTGTGGTCTTGCAATTAGCGCTCTACTTTTTCGATATATAAGTTCTTTAGAACTTGATGTAGCACAGATAAGTCTTGTTCGCTGCGGATGAAGAGGCGTGTCAGAGGGTGGATTTTTCACGGCGCCAGCCCGTTTTCCACCAATCGTGGTCCCTTGCCAACTTATATAATAGATGAAAACGCCGCACCAAATCCAGCCCCTTCCTACTGACAAACCCCAGCCAGACTGTACGTGGTCCAGTGCATTACCTGTTAAGAGATAAATGGCGCATCACTGACGTCACATAACAAGTTGATTACGTGTTTTAAGACGTCATTGACAACGATGCAACACGGATTCCCTTGTGAATTAACGCGTTATGTGACATGTCATCCCTAATAGCGACGGATAAGTTACAACTGCGCCCAGAACTATTTA